TAGCAGGGAACTTGGAAGGGTGTTAACTTTCTGGACAATTTTTAGAAGTACTTGGGTAAACAGTTGTGTGCGAATGCAGGTAGTGTCCTGGGAAGCCCTTCACAGTCCTATACCCCTACAACTGGGACACTTTAGAAAATGTGTCAGCTGCAAAAGATGCCACTCCTCAACTTAGGATCTTGACTCAACTTAGGATCTTGACCCTACTGTCTACTTCAGCATAAGGAAATGGCAGCTTTGAAGGTTTCACCTTTCATGATCAAATAAACTGTCCATTGGATTAAACCACCTACTTCCATGTTTGCTATTCCTTTGCCCCCTTTACCTGGCCGACAAACAAGCAGTGCTCCAATCAAACCAGAGTTGATGTCCTTCACACTGTCAATCTGAGAGAAGTAGGAGTAGGTCAGACACGATGAGTCGCTCTCTGTTGGCCCTTGGTTTTCCAGGATTTCCCAGATGTAGGTGTGGTTTTTACCAGGACCCACCTTATCATCATCTTTCTCTGACTGACTGGTCTCATCATTATATCCTGCCCCTAAAAACAAAGGAGAAGCCCATCGTTTTCACTGTACCAGCAAGCTATCACCATAAAGCTACTCTTTGTTTTATTATTGTTCCTAGGACTAAGGTGGACAATCCCTCTACTTCTCACTGGGTTTCTCTGTAACTTTAGCTGGCTGTCATCTAGACCAGGGCTGTCCAACTTCCAAGTGGCTGGGGGCTGGATGCCTCACAGGCTGAATGCCCCACTGCTCTCACCAGCAGGGTCTACATACTTGTGGGCTGCACCAGGGCAAGCCACAGGCCCACTATGCCACATTATGCATGGACACTCCCCTCACCGCTGCATTACATCCCCCTCCACTCCCTCCACCCCTGCACTGCATGTCCAGGCTCCTCCACATCTCCCCCAGCCATGCCATACTGCACTGCCCCACCCCCTGGGGCAGGGGCAGGCAACAAAAGCTGGAAGGGGGAGCAGGAGTCAGGAGACTTCTGCAGCAGAGGGGTAGGGGAAGCACCAACTGGGCCAGGACATTGGGGGCTGCAACTTAACCCCTTGTAGGTCACATGCAGCTTGTGGGGAACCAGTGGGGCACCAAGGCTAGACACCTCCTCCGGCGGGCTTTAAACTAGGCTCATCGGGGGATGGGGAAGATGAGGGCGGAGGAAGCGTTGGACCACTAAACCAAGTGACACCCACAAGAACAGCCCAGCCTGGACCAACGACGAGCAGAATGAATACCCAGCTAAGCAACTGGGGCCCAGGCAGTACTGAGATTAGGGGGCCAGTGCGCACATCTTCAGGAGGCCTCAAATGCCTCTACACAAACGCTCGTAGTATGGGGAACAAGCAGGAGGAACTTACCCTCCTGCTAGCTGACACCAAGCCAGACATAGTGGGGCTCACAGAAACGTGGTGGGATCCAGTGCATGACTGGGCGGTGAATATCAAGGGCTATAGGCTGTACAGGAGGGACAGGACAGGGAGGAAAGGTGAGGAGGGTGTGGCGCTCTACATCAAGGAGGAATACACATCCTCATCTAGTAGCACAAGGTCAGATGAGGGGCACACTGAAGTGCTCTGGGTTAGAATACAAGGAAGTCGAGGGGAAAGGGACTTAATGGTGGGGGTCTACTACAGACCACCCAACCAAGGGGAAGAGCTAGACCGGGAATTCTTAAGTCAGCTCA